TGCTGGCATTCCTATGTTTTTTATTTTGCTTTTAAACAAAAACAAGAAACAACAAAAAACAACACTCAAATTGCAAACCAACCAGCAGCTAAGTGATCCTGGTGAGCTTCCCCTGGAGTTGCTGTAGCCTGCAGTGAGCTCAGTGGGAGCCTATCCCTGTAATGAATATCAGATATAATTTCCAGGTGGTCATACAAGCCATTGGGACAGCAAATTACTAGTACAAGAGCCCTACCCATCAAGCACTGTTCTCTACCACAGAACCAACAGAAGCATGGCATTTGAATTACAAACAAGGGACACAAAAGATGTGAGAGAAACTCAAGACAGGATCTGTTTTCTATTGACTAACTTCGATACTATCCTTCAAAAAGAAAAAAAAGTTTCCATTCCAGTACACATGTAGTTATAGGAATTACCAAAATAAGGAATATTTTCTCATGCACACATTTGTAACATAAAACAAGGAGGTGGCACCAGGTACAGAAACTTACAAAAAATGTAGATCCTATTCAAAAATATTATCAAGAGTAAGCTGAGTATATTATACTTCTGCAATAAGCTTTGCTTTCATGAAAATCAGTTAGACCCAGGATTATTAGTGTTCATTTCTATTGTCTCAGATCCTCGGTATTGTATCTGAGGCAGCTTGGTTCTGACAGTCATAAGCATTGAACACCTCCAGCATGACCACAAACATAAACATTGGAAACTGCCCACTGAAATGAAGACTGATATCTCAAGGCAGTGCCAAATTGAGCTGCTGCTGTTGAAAACTTAACTCCTCTGGAAACTTTACCCTGATGGGAAAAAAAAGAAAAAAAAAAAGAGAGAGAGAGAGAGAGAGAGAGAGAGAGAGAGAGAGAAAAGAAACTGTAGTTAAAGTTATGCAACCAGTGAAGGATTTAGGCAGATAAGGGTGATAAAAAGGCCGAAGAGGCCTTCTCCACTACCTTCCTTAAGAGAGATGAGGTGGGCCAGTAGCAAGACCAAGAGCAGACTTAAGGTTTTGCTATGCAGTGTGAGGAGATGTGGCTTGCTGGAATGTGGCAGCCTGCCCAGGACCACTGGCCAGCTTGTGAGAGGCATGCAGTGGTGCTGCACCCAAAGACTTGACTTCATTCAGTTACTTCTGAGCTCCGTCCCTGCCAGTTTTGGCCCAGGTTAGCTGGCTGGGCTCTAGGAGCGACTGTCCACAGACAAAAAGTATGGAAAGTCCTTGACTGGGGGAGGGTAGAGGTGAAGAGAGTTTAGTTGTGTGAGTACAAGGTCATACGCTGCCTCTTATCTTCAGGGACAGAAAAACTGGGGCCAGGTGCAGGTATAGCCACAATCTGCACTGAAAGGACCAGTAAAGACACAACAATAATTCTCCATCAGTGATAGTCATAAAGGGCAATCGTAGAAAGAGTCAAGTAAAACCACTGTACGCAGATCTCTCTGTCTCTCTTTTTTCTTTTTTTTCTTTCTAATTTACATGCTAAGTGGGATTTGACATAAGGAAACAATTTCACACATCAGTTTCAGAGCAAAAGTTTCATTTCATCCCCTGAAGTAGAAAACTGATTGCTTAAACCACATATTTTCCAATACATGCCCCAGCTTCAGGCCAACTAAATTTTCACAGGCATCACTCCAATGTCTCAATTTTCTTTCTCACTTCTCTCACTCTCCTATTTTTGCCTTCAGGAATCTGAACACTGCTAGTATTGCTTCTGGAATTTATCATCTGTATTTGAAGATGTATTTGTACAACTAAGGAGCCTGTTTAGAACAAGGAATTCTCAAACGGTGATTATGGAAGATAACATTCTAACAGATATGCCAGTCAGTTTGGAATCTGTTTTATATTCACCCCAATCCCGTGTTATGAAAAGGTGTAATGGGAAGACAAGACGATTTTGCTTGACCTTTCAGATGCTCTTTGGGTTATTCCACTTTCACATATTCTTTAGGCCAAGAACTGGGGAAGATTATGACTAGAATAACACAATAAACCCAAGTCCTTCTCATGAGGGCTTCTCATCAATCCACGCATCACTCAGCCTGCATTCATGTTTGGGATTGCCCCAGCCCATGTACAGGATCTTGCTCTTGGCCTTGTTCAACTCTGAGGTTTGCAGAGGCCCACCTCTCAAGCCTGTCCAGGTCCCTCTGGATGGCATCCCTTCCCTCCAGCAGGTTGACCACACCACCCAGCTTGGTGTCATCAGCAAACCTATCAAGTTACTCAGCATACCTCCTGTCCTGCAATAACGACACGATTTCCCAGCTTCAGGCCAAGCGATGAAAGCATGGCCTTGCCTGTGACATGATTACGGTTTGGAATCACTGCTTTTGAGACATCACATGACAGAGACCCTGCATCCAGCAGTATCTGCTTGATTTCTTTTGCACTGGCTGCTGCGTCTGCCATTTCCAGTGGCATATCTACTGGATCAGGAACCACATCCACTGGGATCTGCCCTTTGTCATTCCTAAAGGCAGGATAGGATAAAGCGTTAGTTTTAAACTAAAAGAGGGTAGATTTAGATTAGATATAAGAAAAATTCTTTATTATGAGGGTGGTGAGACCCTAGAACAGGCTGCCCAGAGAAGCTGTGGATGCCCCTCCATGGAAATTTTCAAGGCCAGGTCAGATGGGACATTAGGCAAACCGTTCTACTGGAAGATGTCCCTGCCCATGGTAGGGGGCTTGGAGCTAGATGATCTTTAGGGTTCCTTCCAACCCAAACCATTCTATGATTCTAAGAAGTCAGATCACAATTTTCCTAAACCATTTTTTTGAAGTTAGAAGAGACAGCAATTACTCTGAACTCCTGAGAGCAGGGTCAGGGAAACCCTGTTTTTTGTGGTGCAACTGCAGAAAGTGGGGGCCTTCATAAAACAGTAGTTTTCTTTCAGAAATATATTCTCTAAAAACATATGGTATATAATCATAAATGAAGTCCTGCTACACCTCACTATGCCAAGTGAAACAAAAGCCCCAAGGCTCTCATCAAAGTTAAAGCAAGACAAACTGTGCTCCAAATCCCCAGAAAACAAGAAAAATATTTGAACAGAGAAACACAATCCGTTTGGATCCTATGTTGCTGCAGTGCTAGGTATTCATGTTCTGGTGGAAAATGATGGCGCATAATGTCAGCACGTGATGTATACAGCTCACCAGCAAGTGAACAGTAACCGGGAGTAACTGCACTACTGTCTGTTACTGCATGATGTTTACTAAATTACATCATATTGATATGCTTGGAAGTTTGACACATAACAGTTTAAGTGCAGTGGGCATGGTTTACTTAGCATATTCTTTCCACACTTGAAACTACACCTTCTACTTGCCTGTGTTTCTTCACCTGACTTAAAAATACAAATATGTTTTTAACAAGATACTATCTAAACATTCAGCTAAAATAGTTTGTTCAGAACAGAAAAAAAAAATATATATATATTTTATGGGAATGCCCTGATTTGCATTTTGTGTGCTCTCAGATGTAAACATAACCTACTATCATGCAAGCATCATTTCAAAGCACTCTGAACATATCTGTTGTACCAGGTTTTTCTATGCTATAAGAAGAAACACTTTCTGTTATTTTTTCTTGCTTTTCCTACTGTAGTGTTTGGAGAAATACAGTTATTGTTTCTAGAAGGAAGCACACAAAACTGCAGCATGTAAGTTACTTCTAGCAACTGATAATACACCACTGCTCATACTCCACTACCACATATAAATGGAATTGTGTGTTCTGTAAACTAGTGGGTATTTTATAACTGCTGACTCCTTTGCCCCTTCACAGCTCTTCCAGAGAACTAAATTTAAAGACATTTCACACTGAAAGGATTACACAGGAAAAGACACAGATAATAATAAAGCTGCTCAGCTGTTAGTGCTACAGCAGTAGTCATAGGCCAGTGTTAGTTGTTTTAAAAATATCACACTCTTAATTACTTAGGCATTAAGATTGGTTTAGCACCTCTACATTATCAAGCTTGAAAGCCATTAGCAGCTGGGCACTTGCTGTTGCTGCTTTGCAGCTGTGGCGTGGCATTTATTAAGAAGCTTTGTCTTAATGCTTGTGCTAAGCTGCTCCTTTGAACTCTGTTACTTGTCCCTTTTAGCCAACTGATGTCAAACTTCACATTAGTTGGATTTTTAAATACATAAGTCACTGGACCATGGTTCATCCCCTCTCACATCATAGCTGATGACAGTTTGCAAGCAGAAAGTTTCCTTGTTATGGAGCTTTCTCTTGGTATGAACAAAGCCAGAGGACTTGCATGTGGGATAACATCCTTGACTGTTGACAAAACTTTGCACTTAGCACAGCATCAGAGTCAAAAGACCTTGAACCAAGACTGTGCTTTAGGGAGGATCCTAGCTCTGGATGTAGCCCAATTACACAAGCAGAGGGTTGCAGCTGGGTGGCCCAGCTGTGGACACAACAGCATTACCTGGCAGCAGCAGCACCAAAGGGGAAATGTGCACAAACTGCTTAGGTTCATGTTCTCAGTTTTGAGCATATTCACAGAAAGCAATATAATCCCATAAAAATGACATTTTTCCAATAGACTCAACATATCTATACATATAGTCAGTGGGACAGCTATTAACTACAGATGCTATGTCTTGAATTATGAAATTATCATCACTTCTTTGGGTTTTCATTACTCGTTATTGCAAAGAGTTCTACAATGAGCAACATAAATGTTTTTGATGTACACTGTTTTTGATGAGATTGCACATATGAAGAAGAAACTTTCTCTGCTGGACCAGAAATGTAGTAAATGAAGGTAGCAGAACTTTTGACTTGGCTTTGCAAATACCAGTTGTTTAAATTAAACATGTAAATTCACGACAAGAAATTTTCTGGCAATTCTAAGGCGGTATGTAAATACACTCATGAATCACAAAACAGAATTTAAACTTCTTTGCTTACCAGTTGCTCAAAGGAAAACAATTCTAATGATCCTTATGCAGCACAGATTATACTAGACAGCCCTTCCTAGTACACAGTGTTTTTATTTAATATGGTTGCCATTATTTTTTTATTTTTATTTTTTCTCATAGATTTCAACTGGAATTTACTTGTAAAAATTCACAGTAATTCTTCACAGAGGGCTGAAACCCCAGCCCTAGTTCCTCAAATTTCCCTCCCTCCCTTTAATTCTGGGTGAGCTAAAGTCCCTCTCCATAAAGTGGGAGTAATTACATTTATTTACATTGCTCTAGGAGAACCACAGTAAGAAAACGAACATGTTTATGAAAGCCAGCCAGAGCAGAAGATGGGATTAGACCTCACTCCTTGCTTCTTCCTTTCACCACCTGCTGGTGAGCAGAATGAACATCCTTTGCTGTTGCCTTCACATCTTTAGCGGGGCTCATCTGATGGGAGAGTACGATACATCCTTACAAATAATAAAGAGAAAATGTAAAGTGTTAAAATCTTTTACCAGTTGTAAATGTTTGAGCAAACCTTTTACCCTCAAAGCTTTAATGACCAGTCTCTGTTAAACTGTAAATGCCAGACAAGCCTGATGGGAAAAAAAATCTCCTACATGAGGGAACCCCATACCAAAGATATGCGTTTTACTGTGGAAAGGGTCTCCCTAGGAGTTGTATGACTGCTAGCTGAGTAACAGCAATAGTTCTTGAAATTTCCAGTCAATGTATAGGATCTTGGAAAAAGCCCAGGTATTTTAAACCATTAAGTCAAACAGCTCAATCCCCTGTGTATATGGGGGATTGGAGGGAGTAGACATTGAGAGAGAGTGAGGTGTAAATCTGGAAAAATATGTGTTGTTTTAGCATGGCATGGCAAGCAACTTATTTCAAAATTGCACTTTTTTTTTTTTTTTTTTTGTTTAGTTCTGTTTGTAAATCTTTAAAAGATTTACAAAACAAGGCAGTTTAAATGACTCAGCTCACCCATTTTTATGTTACTACAAGGATAAACAACAACATGCTGTGTTTTGGGGAGAATATATGGCATCAAAGCACAAACAATTCAAAGATTGCTGAATACATTTTACTTCCAGCAACCAGAAGCTCTGCCTATGGACTGAGTCCAAGCATGCAAAATTTCAGCTTGGATGTATTTGCCAAAATTACAAGCACCTAAACAATAAGGGCTTTCTTGTGATAAGGATGCAACATGTACCTATTTATGCTATAATCCTAATTCAGTTTAGTTTGTTTATTTGTAAACTCTCCTCTCATATATAAGTGCATTGATAAAATAAAGATATTTACAATCTCAGATTGAAAATGGAATATGAAATTTGAATACTTTGATGGACCTGGCTAATCATAACTGTTCTTATGCAGACACACAACTTAGATCTACCACGTGTTTTGTTTTGCATCACTGTCTGATGCTTACAAGTGCAATGAATAAGTAGGTCTCAGTTCAGTTCCAAAAGCACAATGATGCCCACCATGGAGGTGGCAGTGCCAGCATCAAGAGCCCCATTCTAAGCCCACCAAGTCCATCTGAATGCCAAGTACACTACTGAAATGCATACCTACTGCTTTGGACTCCAGTCCCCTACAAACACATTAGTCTGTGGCATCCTGCTGAGACAAAATTGCATGCAGGAAAAGCACAGTGCAGGTCAGGAAGCAAAGCCTGTCCCCCAGGGCTTCCCCCTTGCCTGTCAGTCTGGCAGCAGTTGACCTTGCTTGCTCCCTTTCCCAGTCATGCCTTCATGCCTCACTCTCAGGCTACACCAAGTCTCACGCTTACTGGACTGTGAAATAACTCTTTTTTTTTTTTTTTCTTCATTTTTCATTTGTATCTCCTTGAGGAGCTGCGAAACTGGCACAGAGAGGATGCAAGGGGCTGTGCCAGCCTTGGCAAGACCTGTGCTTGCTCTCCCAGCCTTGCTGATGGAAATGTTTCCCTGCAGCAATGCAGGGGCACAGAAGTAGCAGCCATGGCCAGCCCCCCATGAACCTCAGTGTAATACATGGACTTTTCATGGCTTTCTTCCTGGAAGGAAAAGAAAGCTTTGCTCATCCTGGCAGCTAATGGCAAGGCAAATGTCTTCACCATTTCAAGCACCATGAAAGCCAGTCCCAGCCTGTGTGATCCCAGCAGGTCCCTACTCTGGTGTTCTCATCTATGGGTGCTGCTACAGGCTGGTAGCTACTTACCACCCTACCACCATGTCCCCCATTCACTGGTTGGAACCCCACATCCATGTCTGAGCTGTCCCAAGAGGCTGGCATCCTGTGGTTACCCAGGCGGAGGCACAGTCACTTGTCCCTACTGCTCCAGGTCCCAGGCTGAGCTACGTGGCTGAGGAGAGACAGTTACTCCAGGTGGCTGTCACTGTTGTCCTGGGTGGCTGGGAGCACCCAGCCACAGACAGCAGAAGAGAGAATTAATAACCTTTCCCTGCCTAATTAGTCAATGGTTTAGGCATCTGATTTTGACAGGGTAGGAAAACACTTGAAGCTTCTGTTCAGTATCTGATGCTTCATATCTACAGGGATTTTAGTCTAGCATTTTTGATGAGTCTTACACTCACCCCCAATAAACATATATCTTTGCTGTTGTAGAAAACATCCTAAAAGGAACTTTGAGGAAACCTTTGATAAGTCTTCCACTGCTTAATAACATCCCCTTTGGTTGACAGGGTGATATCAAGACTTCAGATTGGAAGCTGGTGAAATGTTCAGATCAAAAAGGATGAATTTATCTTAACAGTAATCTATATCTGCTATGTCAGACACTGTGCTGCGGCACATCCTGCTGTGTGCAGTATGCCACTTATAGAGCAATGATAAACCTTTCTAGATGGTGCCTAGCACAAAGTGTTTACCAGAATATAGATTGCTGTGAGATACAGTTAAAAGTTGCTCAGAAATAAGAGATCAGGGAGGCTGACCATTTGTGAGTAGGTCAGTGATGATTTTTTTTTTCTTTTCCCAGCAGCATCTAAGTGCAATAAAATATCAGAGTGAGAAAGAATTGCTATAGCAACAAAAGTATGTTCTCCTAATGGAGGCTGTGTAACAGCCGACTGCCACTGGAACTTGAAGGGGAAGGAATAAAATCCATCACTAAAGTAGGAAAAGGAAAAATGTTGAACATTACAATTGCATTGTTCCATGATTTATGTTGATTTATTTCACATCTCCCTCCAGATGATCTTCCAGTAATTCACTGCTCTTATTTACTTTTTCACACATAAAATTTTGGGAACTCAGAAAAACAGTGGTGTGAATGATGCATTAGTAGCTATATAATGATAAAGATTTGCATTTCACGGTAGTTTTATTGCTAGAAATACTAGGAATTGGGACATTATATGCTAATGCCAATACACAGCAAGAGGCCATCCTTCCTGTCAGGAAGAGATTCACAATGGCCACACTCAAAGGGAATTGCCACTGAGAGATGAAGAGACAAACTCAGGGTCACTCAGCAAGTCAGTGGTATTGTCTGGACCAGAGCATAGCTCTCTGGTTCTCCGTCCCCTACCCAGCAGCCATTAAAGCTTTCTAGAAACCCAATCACAAAACTTCAGGGTGAGCTGCAGATACAGGGAAGGTGTTTTGTGTCACTGTTTAACAGTTCACTGTCAAACTGTCCCAGATAAGTATTGCAGCCATGCTATGCCAATGAGCCCTCATACTCACAGAGGCATTAGAACCATCGTCCTCTTTTTTCCTTTCTTTTCTGTGACTCAGGCTGTGGTACCAGTAGCAGTAGGGAATACGAAAACTGCAAGATCAGGGGAAGCTTTTGCCTTCCATAGTCATTACACAGGATATCTGGAGAAAAAAAAAGAAAGAGAAGACAGGTTAAGGAATCTAACTCTGAGTTACAACTAGTTTTCTCCTCTGCTTCTGGCTTGAACAAAGATTCAATCACCTTCAAAGGTATTTTACACTGTCAGAGGCAGCCCTTGTCCTGTGTGGTAATGCTACCTTATGCTGGTCCTCAAATTATAATCTAAGGTAAAAGAAATTCCTTATTCTGTAGATGATCAAACTGAAACAGCACATTAGGGTCGATGGCAAAGTAGAGGAAAGCAGCAGCACATTTTGTATACCAAAGTCCTACTGACCTGGTTGAATCTTGACATACCCAGGACAGAGAAAAAAAGAAATAAGTACTGGGGAAGAAAAACCAAAAGTCTCTTTGAAAAGATTCTCTCCCCACAGAGAAAATATTTTCAGGCACATTTTGCAATGGAGCTCACTTTATGTTGTCCTATTTATAACTCACAAGTCTCCATAACAAACAAGCTCCTTAGAGGAAACCAAGTGTGATTTGAACAGCATTATACATCACAGTTCGATGTTCCCACTCTGGTTATGATTTATAACAAAAGCATAGCATTGTGGGTCAGTCAGTGAGGGACATTCTGCAGCAAAGAAAATTGAATAAGTTAAAGTTTTCTTATGTGTGTGAAGGTCGTTTTTATTTAAAGTTAAAGAGAAAAAGGTTTCAGGCCCACATCATATTAGACTAATAGGCAGGTCTTTCCCATTTTTCAATAGCTTCTGCTAATGAGAAACTATTAATCTCCTCTTTAAAATAAGGCATTGTATCAAATAATTGAAAAGCTGAAAAAGGGAAAATATGATTGACCAATGAATGACCAAGGATTCAAGTTATTTTGAAATTACAGAATGAACCAATTTGCTGCTCACTGTTGGTGAAACAAACTGTTTCATTGATAGTTTCCCACAGGCAGCAGAGGGTCAGCTCAGGTTAAAGTCATGCTGGTGAGAATGAGTCCTGAGCACACCAGTCAGCAGCTTCTTTGGTGGGAAGTGGCAGAGAGGAGGCAGATGTGCATTCTTCCCACAGCTGTTCTCCTAAACCTAAGGCACAAACTGTGGCATACTAATTGATAAATTTATTTATTTATTTTTATGACTCAGAAGAAACAGGTGCCTATTTAGAAAGATCAAAGACAACTGAAATATAGTGGGTCCTTCAGTTACACTGTAGTCAGCTTTACAGGCCACAGTGAGGATCATGACATACCCAAATGATAATGGAGCCTATTTTCTTCATCAACATAAATACACAAGCAGTGGAAGGAGCAGGGTTCAGATAATCAAGGGTTGCCATCTCCCATCACAATGTTGCCTAGTGATCAGCGATGCTTTATTTTCATTTCTCTCTGGTCCCATAAGACTTTTAGTGTTTTCTTGTCCATGGCCTGGCTACTATAATTTTCTGGGTAGTCGTCTTCTTAAAAAGAGAATTGTACCCCTGAGTTGCTTATATCAGAGTGTTTTTGTAATTGCTGATTCTCTGAGAGGAAATTCAAGGACCCTGACTGGACAGAGGCCTTCCCCAGATCCCTACTGCAGACAGTGATGAGACTTGTGATTCTGTCCCAGTTTCCTGCTAGTCCTCAGCATCCTCACTGTTTTGGGTGCCACAGTGAAGCACCTATTTTTACTTAAAGGAAAAAGTTAAATCCAGACAGTGAGCTCTGGTCAGGGGTCAGACAAATAAACCACAGGCTATCTAGCAACAACATTTTAGGTTCAAGCTATTGCACAGCAAAAGTTTTGAAAGAATCTCTTGCTTGTGTTCATTTTGTTCATTGTGTTCATGTAAGGGTACTGAGAGAACTGGCAGAGGAGCTGGCCAAGCCCCTATCCATCATTTATCAGCAGTCCTGGCTATCGGGAGAGGTCCCAGCTGACTGGCGGCTAGCGAATGTGACGCCCATCTACAAGAAGGGCCGGAGGGCAGACCCGGGGAACTACAGGCCTGTCAGTTTGACCTCAGTACCAGGGAAGCTCATGGAGCAGATCCTCTTGGGAGTCATCATGCGGCACTTGAAGGGCAAGCAGGCGATCAGGCCCAGTCAGCATGGGTTTATGGAAGGCAGGCCCTGCTTGACGAACCTGATCTCCTTCTATGACAAAGTGATGCGCTGGGTGGACGAGGGAAAGGCTGTGGATGTGGTCTACCTTGACTTCAGCAAGGCTTTTGACACCGTCTCCCACAGCATTCTCCTCAAGAAACTGGCTGCTCTTGGCTTGGACTGGCGCACGATTTGTTGGGTTAGAAACTGGCTGGATAGCCGGGCCCAAAGAGTTGTGGTAAATGGAGTCAAGTCCAGTTGGAGGCCAGTCACTAGTGGCGTCCCCCAGGGCTCGGTGCTGGGGCCGGTCCTCTTTAACATCTTCATCAATGATCTGGACGAGGGCATTGAGTGCACCCTCAGTAAGTTTGCAGATGACACCAAGTTAGGTGCGTGTGTCGATCTGCTCGAGGGTAGGAAGGCTCTGCAGGAGGATCTGGATAGGCTGCACCAATGGGCTGAGGTCAACTGTATGAAGTTCAACAAGGCCAAGTGCCGGGGGGTCCTGCACCTGGGGCGCAATAACCCCAAGCAGAGCTACAGGCTGGGAGATGAGTGGTTGGAGAGCTGCCAGGCAGAGAAGGACCTGGGAGTGATGGTGGATAGTCAGCTGAATATGAGCCAGCAGTGTGCTCAGGTGGCCAAGAAGGCCAACAGCATCCTGGCTTGTATCAGAAACAGCGTGACCAGCAGGGCTAGGGAGGTGATCGTGCCCCTGTACTCGGCTCTGGTGAGGCCGCACCTCGAGTACTGTGTTCAGTTTTGGGCCCCTCGCTACAAGAAGGACATCGAGGTGCTTGAGCGGGTCCAAAGAAGGGTGACGAAGCTGGTGAGGGGCCTGGAGAACAAGTCATACGAGGAGCGGCTGAGGGAGCTGGGCTTGTTCAGCCTGGAGAAAAGGAGGCTCAGGGGTGACCTTATTGCTCTCTACAGGTACCTTAAAGGAGGCTGTAGAGAGGTGGGGGTTGGCCTGTTCTCCCACGTGCCTGGTGACAGGACGAGGGGGAATGGGCTAAAGTTACGCCAGGGGAGTTTTAGGTTGGATGTTAGGAAGAACTTCTTTACTGAAAGGGTTGTGAGGCATTGGAATGGGCTGCCCAGGGAGGTGGTGGAGTCACCATCCCTGGAAGTCTTCAAAAGACATTTAGATGTAGAGCTTAGGGATATGGTTTAGTGGGGACTGTTAGTGTTAGGTCAGAGGTTGGACTCGATGATCTTGAGGTCTCTTCCAACCTAGAAATTCTGTGAAATTCTGTGAAATTTTCTCTATAGCGATGAAACTAGCTTTGTTAAGAAGCACATGTTAGTTTCCAGTTGATGGCTTTGCAAGTTTGTACCCAGCTGGGAACTGTTTTCCCACTCCCAGGAGGCCCAGTTTACACGATTACGAATGAGGTTATTTACATCCTTGTGCATGGGCAAAAAGGGGGAAAGTGAATATTCCCACAAAGCTGATCAGAGGGCTGGAGCATCTCACCTATGAAGAAAGGCTGAGAGAGCTGGTGATATTCAGCCTGATAACAAGAAGGCTCCGGGCAGACCTCATTGGAGCCTTTCTGTTCTTTAAAGGGTGCTTTTAAAAAAGATGAAGAGCGACTTTTTGCTCAGTCAAATCATGAGAGGACAAGGGAGAATGGTTTTAAACTAAAAGAGGGGCTACTTACATAAGATGTTAGGAGGGAATTCTTCACTCAGAGGGTGGTGAAGCACTGGTACAGGTTGCCCAGAGAAGTTGTGGGTGCCCCATCTCAGGAGGTGTTCAAGACCAGGTTGGATAGGGCCCTGGGCAACCTGATCTAGTGGGTGGCATCCCTGCCCATGGCAAGGGGGTTGGAACTACATGATCTTTAATATCCCTTCCAATCCAAGCCATTCTGTGATATGGTTCTAAAAAATTATCTCATGTGCTTTCTATCATCCTTTTCAAGTTGCCACTGCCTGCAAAGCTGCTGTCTAGGCACCACCAGGACCTAGGGAAGAGAGAAAGAGCTCTAACAGCATTCAATACCTCTTGTTAGCTTCTTAATTCCCAGAAGCAGCTTCTGTCATTGCTAACACCAGAGCTAAAAGGACAATCACAGGCACTGTTTGAACCTATGCAATATCGTAACACTGCTTTTCTTAAGAGACTACTGACCCAGCTCAGTTGGGTGCATGGATAACCAGTATCCCTTGAGATTCCCATACAAGACGCTAGCAGCTATGACTACTGGACACAGATGTCCTACCAAAGCAGCTGTGGGGGACCTGCCAGATTCCTTGGGGTTCCTTAAGTGCATATGTATATCTGGACTACTGTCTCTTGCCTCATCTTTCAGTGGCATATAGCTCAAGTACATCACAATCTAGCATGGTCCCTTCCTAAATAAATATTATTGGTTTTGACATATTGTTTATTCACTCATGGATTCACTGTCTGAGCATGGACCTGCTCTCTCTCAGTTGAGAGCTTCCCTCACTGAGGAACATACTGATTGAAAGGACCAGCTCTTTGAAAGGGATGTTCTTCAAGTGTTGTAAATGTATTGGGATTTTCTGGAAAGAACTTTTTTTTTTTGCCCTAATATTAGACAACGTAATATTAAATAAACTGCAGGCATTCCTTATGCTATTGTTGATATAATAGGCATTAGTTGGAGTTACAACACCCTTTGCTGTTTTCCCTATCTGCAGCCTATACAAATCTACTACCATGACTAGTACTCAATCAAGCTTTGCTATCTTATTTTTCTCCTTAGACAAAAACTGCTTTGATTTAAGAGTTATTATACAGTGCGTTTACTTTAACATAAAAGCATATGACAAAAACAAAAAATAAAGACTAGTTCCTCAAAATGAGTGTTATAAAACAAAACAATACAAAATGTCCCTTCCACTTACTTTGTTTGCAGATGATCACATTTGTGTTGTGGGTACAGATTTACCCTGTTCTGATCAAATTTCTATTAATAGAAATAAATTAAAAAACAACAACAACTGTGACTGTGATAAACACCCACAATTATAGCACTTGATTTTCTCTTCCATAATTTAGCACAGCTTCAGCTGGTAAACTCTCTCTTCTCAGGAGACGAAATTGTAATCCCTGAATTTCTGCACAACAGTTTGCCGGGTATATAGTGTGCTCCTCTAACTCATTTCATGTTGTCAATGGTGCCCAAAGCAGACATTGCCAGTCCTGCAGTGATATGCCATGCTGTCATGCTGGGCTGTAATGCAAAATTCATACTAATTGCAGGTCATTGGAGAACAGATTGTGAATCTTCTCTTACACTTGAGCAGGTTATATCTGAAGTCCATTCCTGTTTTTGCTCACTGCTAAAGGTTTTTATTCAGCAAATAAATAATACACTGCACAAAGATAAATTATATGTATATGTATATAAGTGTAGCAAACACTCAAAGGTGCCCAGAAATTATAAGTTGGAGAAATACACAAAACAGCTACCGTTTTACTTAATGCTTTGTGTAGCTTACCATTTCCAGGTGGGAGACAGTGTTAAAAGGAAAAAACCTGTAGACACCCTGTCTGCAACCTTTCTCATCCTTAGAGGAGCTGGACAAATTCTCCTGATGAGAACAGGAGGAAGCACTCACTGCATCAGCCCTGACCTGGTGTGCTCAGCGCAGGCTTAGCTCCTGGTGCTGTGGACAGGCAGGACACCATTCTGCTTCTCCTACAGAAGAAAGAGATAACACAGAAGGGAAATGAAGAGCAAAAAATTGGAAGAATGAGAACAGTGGAGGGCAGGGAAACCAGGACTGTGTTAGGAAGGACAAGTCCTGGAATGGATAGAGGAAAACAATCATCTTAGTGGTAGAGGGATGGGTTGGGTAGAAGAGTGCTTGAAAGAATAAAAATTGAAAATAAATGAGTGAGTAATGATCACAAGGGCAGAAAGCAGAAAACATATGCACTGACCAAGCCCCATGACTATCAACAGGAAAAAAAAGGTTACAAGTCCTACCCATCCTACTTATTCATGAGATTCTTGAGTATCATTTACTATCATCTCTCTAAAAGCAATGAGAACATGTAGTGAATTAAATCTTTTTTTTTTTTTCCTTTCCTTTTTGTATCTACATGACAAAATAAATAAAGCTTCATAAAGATGAGGTGTACGTTTGTGGGGGTTATACTACAATGAGATAAGCGAACACTCTATAATGCTCTGAAAACTCTCATAACAATTCTTGTTTTTGCAATGAGCCATACGCTAGGATTCTGCCCCTCATCAGTTCATTCTGACAGAGTCTGGACATTTTAATTAAAACTCAGAAGCCAAATTTAGAATCTTGTCTGGGGCTACACTCATATGAAAATTGTGGTCATTCAGTCCACAGTAGTATTCAATACTTTTTCCTTTTTATGTGAAATTTGAATAAGTGAATTGAAATAATTTGCATTTTTCATAATGATCAGGAAGTTGAAATAATGAAAATGATCATTAATATTTTAATTGAAGAACAAAAATACTTTAAAGCAGTCTTCAGATTTCTCTTATGTTTTGTTAAAAGACACTGATACTATAATGGCATTGTAATTTACAGAAATACATTATAGATTCACAGATTTGCTATTCATAAAATTCATTGATGTCTTTTCTCAAAAGTGCTTTACAAAGGATTTAGAAACATCTTTAATCTTGGAAAATAACATTGTACTTTGTGATTAAATATCTCCATAGCATAGCTGTAAAGATACTAATACACATCATAAAATCAAAATCAGGATATAGCACAGTACAAAGGTTTTTCCTAAATTGACCATTTCTGTCGTTGCTAATGCTTTATTCACTTATTATTGTTAAGTCTCTTACAGCATCACAGAGCTTCTCAGAGCAGCACACTTCACAACAGCCAGTGGTGGTGCTGGAATCTATCTTGCATCAAAATTTCATAGTTTAAGTTTCAATCCAAGTGTTTCTCTATCCTTTTAGTCAAAATCTTGAAACTCAGAATAAAATGAGTTTGCCTTAGTGGGCAAGCTGAATATTAGTGCAAAACAATACCGTCACAATTTTTTTGTTGTTGTTTTCTTTTACCTGTTTTTGAGGCATCTAAGTATTAGAACAAAACATGATTGCATTTTACTGATGTTCATGCAGTTTAAAATAGTCAACATACTTTAAAACTTTATCCAGGACAGTGTCCAGAAAGTACAATCTATAAATGCATACCCTTGTTGTTACACAGCCACTGCCTGGCTTCCACTGCCTAATATCCTGTAAGGACTGCAGGATGATCGAAGAATTCCTAAATTATTTCAAACCCTTTTTCTTTTAGTGCTCCTTAACATTATATAATCAGTCATAATATTTTAAAACCAAACTATTTAGATATTCAAAAAATGGAAGGATAGAAGGTTGGCCTAATTCTTAAAATGTACATTTTTCTCCAAAGCTATACTGATGAATTTTAACTTTTATTATTATTAGAGTTTAATTGGATCTTTACGTTTCTGCTTCATTGTTATCAGAGAACACCCGATGACACGCTTCCTTTGACCATTAAATACAGAGAGCAGACCAGGAAGTATTGTCAGCAAAGCAATTTCCACAACATTTAGAGATGACAAATGTATACTATATAGAAGCCACATACATTAATGCATATTATCTACAGAACAGATTGTAGACTGTATCTGACTACCAGAGGTGCAGGCCTAATAAACACAGAACCCTTTAAATCCAAACTAATTTATTTGCAGAAAAATGGGGCATTGATATATGTTGATTATAATTTCAATAATGCAGGTTTTCCACAATTATATTCCTTTCAAAACCTAAAATTGCAGAAGAAATACTGGCCTCAGTAGGATTGATGTGCACATAACTAGGGGCTAAATGCTGATGTATCTTTAAAAGCAACACTCTTGGCTTGCCACAGCCTTGACCTAAAAGGAAGGACCACAACCATCTCTTATGTGAAAGCATGTTTGCCAACGGCCACCCATCCCAAGGGAGGCATGGTGGCACACCCTGATCCTTGCAGCTGTATGAGCAGTTTTGGACTCACACCAGCCTTTTTGCTTGTCTCTGTTCATCCAGTGTAGATGATGCCCAAGATTGAGAGCCACTGTCATGCAGTTGTTCACCAAGGTACCAGCACTGCTCCAGCTGAGCTCTGCTCTCACCGTGGAAAAACACCGAAGGTCTGAGTAACCTCTGCTTTTGCAAAATGAATTAATATCTGATGCTGAGATGTAAGCAATGAATTTGGTGTTTGGGTTGATTGTATTGTGTTGATCAAAGAGACAGGCATACAGCATCCCTGAAAACAGGCCACTTGCAAGCAAGAAGTATAATTATATGTCAAGAGGTGCATAAGTTTTCTCTGAAAATGAAGAGCTTTTTATCTGAAAGCCAAAATGTGCAATATGGAAGGGATTTTTGAGAATCAGCTTTCACCTTCCCACAATGACCAAAAAGCTCCCCCTTGATAGAATAACCATATCTAAACTCCTAACCTAAGCACCTAAAAGGCACCTCTTACCACTATTAATGGAGCCCCTCTTTGATCTGTTCCTCACCTCAATAAAGAAAACTGTGTGTCTTCTAATCAGTTTGCAGGCATGGGGAATCATTTGAGAAGCATGTGCTTGTGCTCATCTCCCTTGATTTGTACCTGCTGCCTTATTCTTGAGTCTCAATTCCCCTGCCCTTGCTCCACATCCTCCACAATGCAACCTTATCTTCACAAAACAGACAAACAACTACCTCCAGATGCCCTGCCAGTACCAATAAACTGGCAAGTGGGGAAGGAACAAAGGTACAGTTAGGGTACAAAGAAGTAAATACTCCTTTTTTTTGGAAACTGAACACATTACCTTCACCACCCTAAGGTCAAAAAATATCAAGTTGTTTCTGAACTTCCCTCTCTCTGAAAATACAATCATGCTGGTTAATCTCAAAATATCTTTGGCAGCTATCATATAATTTTTTTTTTTTCTGTTATCCTTAAAACTTCTCTAATGGTAAGTGCACGAGTGAAAAATAACAGTTTGTTATGTTTGTGTAACAAGCAATACTCATGTTTTGTCCAATCCATTTTTACACTGTTTTTCTATCTTTCTGAAGTTATCAGAGGTGAGATGGAAAGCCCAGCCATCACACCACAGCTTAAATGTTCCAGTAAAACATCACTTCTTTTTCTATCATTCCCCCTTCTTCACTTTTTTCTTGTTTTTTAAACCAAAAGTGTACAGGATGGTGATCATTTGTGTTGTCCTGCAAGATACTCAACGTTATCCCAGCACACTTTTTACTCTGTTCTCGGGGCTTAGTCTGTGCAGCCCTGATCACAGCAGTCACTCCCTGACATCGACTTCTGCTGATTCTGCAGTTTAATTAAGATGGGATAGAGTTAGACGCCACATACACACCACTTGGACAACCTGGTCTCATAGAGAGAGTGAAAAGAGAATCACTGAATACAAAAAATGCATCAGAGACGTGAGTGCTAAATTCAGGGAGTGTCTGATCACGTGCAGTGTTTTTTGTTTGTTTGTTTTTCCCCTTTCATCCCTCTTCTAAAAAACATTTAATAAAGCCTGATTGATGAAAAATATGAGCAACTGTTGGCCTGCCCTGGCACGGTGACGGGTAGCCCTGCCTTCCTCTGCCTGAACATCCTTCCTCCCCAGTAAAAGGCAATCTGTTTCCAGAGAGAAATGTTATTTCCAATTCAGCAAGTGCTGCTTAAAGCAAAGGTCACCGTTAGTTTTGGATGTTCTAATGCACTTTATGTATAATAGTTCTATATCAACATTATATTTCAGAGAATGAGGCCATTATATTTATTCCACCTAGATTTCTTAGCATGCATTTAAAATATGTTTTCATTAACTTGTGGTAGCCACTATATATTTTAACAAAAGGCTCAAAGGATTTTATCTTAGAGTTTCCAAGGTGGTTTTAGTTTATGATTTTGCCTTTAGCCTATATATATTATTTGAAATTTAAAGTTTTGAGCCCCAGTGGTATATGTGTTTCAGTGACAGAAAGAAATTAAAAATATGAGTTCCAGCATATGTTGCTGGAAAGAAAAATTGAAGGTCAGATAATGTTGGACAGACAGAGCTCCCAAATGATTGAAGAGAGGTAGGTAACTTAGCTCCAGAGTCTGGCATGTGACTGCAGACTGCTGCTTGAATAGAAATCTCTCTGCAATGTACAAAAGCAAGTAACTACTCGTTGATTATTAAGGCTAGGGTAATTTGGATATGTGTATATCACCCGCAGTTGACTGACAGTCATAATACAATATTTAGCAGCTGGGATTTTTTGTTGTAATCTTAAAACAGTTAAGCTATTTAAAAGATATTCCTTTTGCTGAACATGTTTTCATTGAAAAAGTAGATAGCAGGGCTAATTTGCAACAGGAATGGAGCTTAATATTTCAAAGCCCTTGAGACCCGATTAGACCATTGCACTCTATACATAATCTCTCACTAAAATAAACTTGTTGGTGTTTTGGTCATATATAAAAGCACTGAGATTTTATATCTGCAATAAAGCAGGACTCTTTGAGCTCCTCGGTATGCAAGTCAGAAAAAAAAGTTATTTAACTAACAAAAGAATGAGATAAGGATGAAATGTGAATGTTAAAACACACTAAAAATTGATTGGCAAAAAATTTTTACTCTAGCTGTAAATTTTCCAAGTAGACTGAACTT